TCCCACACCTCCATCTTCCTGCACCAGAGCATCACCATCACCCAGCTTGTACGTACCCCGTGCCCCCTCCCACACCCACTGCCCCTCACACACTTCTACCCGGACACTGCCCCGCGCCCACCTTCCTCTGCCCACCTCCCCGTGCCCACCTCCACACGGCCTCCTCCCCACACCCACCACCTGTGCCCACCTCCCCACGCCCACTGTCCTGCGCCCACTGCCCCGCAGCCACCTCCTCACAGCCACCGCCCTGTGCCCATCTCCCATGGCTTAACTCTGACCCTGGGCCTGCAGGCCCCAGCCACTCTGTCTCTCTCCATAGCACCTGCAGGGAATGCAGCTGAGCCAGCGCTTTGCAGGGTGCAGCGACCCCCAGAAGCCTTGGCCACCTGGCTCAGAGGCCTTAGGTTGGCACAGGGAGCCAAAGGTGCAGCCAGGGTTCAGCCTGGCCAATGCCAGAGCCTCCTTGAGCCATGCTGCTGGAGAAGCCAGCCTGGCCCCTTCTTCCTGCCACAGGGGATTCCCTGGTCTCTGCAGGGTCTGCCGTTCCCCCAGACAGTCCCAGTGGCTCTGTCGCAAATCCCTGGCCTGAGCTCCCATGGCCAGGGAGCGAACAAGTGATGCCAAGGGGCGGGGACAGAGTCCTACGGCTAGTTTATCCCACATTCCTCACAGCTTGTACCTGCCCCTCTGCACCATGCCCTGCTCCCACGCCTCCTCCCCGTCGCCCAGCTCAAAGGTATGTATGCCCACCCTCGCCGGTTCCTCCCCCACGCCCTCCTTCCTACGCCCCCCTCCACTGGCCGCTGCAACCCACGCCCCCACTCTCCATCCAGCACTTGCCCTGCAGCGCCCCATGCCAGCCCTGCCCACGGAGCTGCCAGCACCTGCGTCGTGCAGCCACGGAGAGGCCACGCAGGGCACCCATGACGTGGACCCAGGGTCTAGCAGAGGGGTCCCAGATGCTGAGCTCAGGGGAGCCCTTGGGCAGGCTGGGCCAGGGCCTGGCTGGGGGAAGGATCCGCAGCAGCCGCTACCCTCTGACCGCTCCCAATTCTCCTTCCTCCCCAGGACCGAGAGCTGCGGCCGGAGGAGATCGAAGGTAAAGGAGGGAGCGGGACCATGGGACGGGGCCAGCTTGCCCCGCTGGGGATCCACCCCCAGCCACCTGCGAGTGCTGCACCCACCCACCACGCCCAGGGACATGGGGCTGTGCCCCTCTAGGCAGTGCTGGCTTCGATCCAGCCCCAGGGCAGGCGACTGGCTGGCTCAGGGGGGACGGGGACTGGAGCACGGGGCCTTTCCCCTCTAGGGGTCTCCTTCAACTATCCCGCCCCCGTGGAGCACTGTGGGATATGTAACGAGTTTGGTGGGTCTCAACCCAGATTCCTGTGGACCCATGTCCCTGTCCGTGGCTGGTGCATGGGGCACCCTCGTTGAGGGGCAGGCTATGGTGTCGGGGTGCCCTGTGGTGCCCAGCACCCCACGCACTGTCACGGCGTCTCCCCTGCCCAGAGCTGAAGGAAGCCTTCCGAGAATTCGACAAGGACCGTGACGGGTACATCAGCTACAAGGACCTGGGCGAGTGCATGCGCACCATGGGCTACATGCCCACCGAGATGGAGCTCATCGAGCTGTCGCAGCAGATCAGTACGTGCCCATGCCCGCCCGCTGGGGGAGGCACAGCGCCCCCGCCAGGGAGCTCCCTGCTGGGCATGGCCCAGCCCCTGCAGAGCTGCAGACCCCTCGCCCTTGGCACAAACCCCGTCAGGTCCCCTTCCACGCGCACCCGCCCACCACCCTGCGCCCACCTCCACACGCCCTGCGCCCCTTGGGCCCCCCGTCGCCCCAGGTCACAGATCCCATCAGCCCCCCATAGCCCTGGGGCACAGACCCCATCAGACCCCCTTCCTGCAAGTCACAGACCCCATCGAGCCTCCCATCATCCCAGGTCACAGATCCCGTTAGCCCCCCCACTCCCCATAGTCCCAGGTCACAGACCCCGTCAGCACCCCCATTGCCCCAGGTCACAGATCCCGTTAGCTCCCCCATCGCCGTGGGTCACAGATCCCATCAGCCCCCCCACAGTATAGCCCTGGGTCACAGACCCCATCAGGCCCCCTTCCTGCAGGTCACAGACCTCGTGAGGTCACCCCCTCACACACACCCCATCGGTTGCCCCAGGACAGAGACCCCATCAGACCTCCCTCCCATGGATCACAAACCCCACAGGCCTCCCCTCCCATGGGGTACAGACTCCGTCAGGCACCTCTCCTCCAGGACGTGGTCCCTCATCACCCCCGCCTCCCGTGGGGCAGAGTCCCCCGCCAGGACCCCACACTAGGCACAGTTCCCATCCCTCCCCATCCTGCGTAACAGCGTCCATGTCTCACAGCTGGGGGGAAGGTGGATTTCGATGACTTTGTGGAGCTGATGGGCCCCAAGATGCTGGCAGAGACGGCCGACATGATTGGGGTGAAGGAGCTACGGGACGCCTTCCGCGAGGTGAGAGCCCGGCGTGGCCCCACGCGCCCCACACACTCTGTGTGGTCCAGCCATGGGCTTCCAGTGGTGCCCAGTTGTGTACCCCCAATGGCACCACCCCATTGATGCCACAGCCTATAGGGCAGAGCAGGGAACAGACACAAGGCAGCTGAACTGGCTCCCGGCAAAGGGAGGGAGTTGGGCAGTCGGGCCGGGCATGAGGAGGGGAGCCGGGGCAAGGGGTGGGTGGCTGAGGTAACGGGGTTAGGCGGTTGGGGCAGGGCAGGGGGCAGGTCTGGGAGTGTGACAGGGAGTAGGGGGGCAGTGGGCCCAGGAGGGCGGTGTGGGGGATGGCTCGTGTGAGTGGGCAGGCCTATGGATGCGGGGGAGGTATTGGGGGTGGGTGGGCAGGGCAATGCCAGGGACAGGCAGAGCCAGATGCGGCCAGGGCTGTCTTGAGGGTGCAGCAGGGTGGGTTGGGCCCGGGGGTTAGGTGGGGGCCAGGCCCAGGTGTGGGCAGAGGTGCCCTGGGGCAGCCCAGGGACAAGGGGGATCTGCGCCCAGCCCAGCTATCTGCCTAGCGCTCTCCCCGCAGTTCGACACCAATGGGGACGGGCGGATCAGCACAGCCGAGCTGCGCGAGGCCATGCGCAAGCTGTTGGGCCAGCAACTCAACTACCGCGAGGTGGACGAAATCCTCAAGGACGTGGATCTCAATGGGGACGGCCTGGTGGATTTCGAAGGTACTGTGTGGGCAAGGCAGTGAGGTCTAATGGTTAGAGCTGGGGGGCTGGGAACCAGGACTCCTGGCTTCCATCCCCAGCTATGGGAAGGGAGTGAGGTCTGGTGGGTTAGAGCAGTGGAGGCTGGGAGCCAGGACTCCTGGGTTCCATCCCCAGCTCTGGGATGAGAGTGGGGTCTGGTGGGTTAGAGCAGCGGAGGCTGGGAGCCAGGACTCCTGGGTTCCATCCCCAGCTCTGGGAAGGGAAGGGGGCCTAATGGGTTGGGGGAGGTACCAGGACTTCTGGGTTCTTTGTCTTCACTGCCCTAACAGTGTCCTTGGGTTGCTCTGGCAGAGTTTGTGCGAATGATGTCACGCTGAGGCAACAAGTGCCAGTGCAGGGTGCGGGACAAGAGCCCTGCTGTGCCTTACGGAGAGGAGGGGGCTGCAGAGAGCTGGCTCCAGCGGCAGCTTGGAGGGTCCGGACACCAGAGCAGCACAACGCGCAAGCACTGAGCAAGGACCTCACCTCTCCAGTGCCGGCCCTGCCACAGTGCACCCCGACCCCCCACACCGGCCCCGCTGCTGAGCTCTGCCTGCACCCCAGCCTGCTCATCCTGCACCCCAACCCCACACTGGCCCCTGGTCCACTCTGCCCGCACCCCCAGATGGCTCCGCCCGCACCTCAGTCCATGCCATCCCTTGCTCCTGAGATTGGCCTGCACCTCCAAGCCCTGGAGCAGGCCAGTGCCTGGAACACGGACTCAGCCAGGCATATACCTTATATCAAAGTGCTGCTCCCTGGCTCCAACAATGCTGCCCCTCTCACCTCATCCCTGCTCCTGATCCCACCCTTTACTCTGCCCCACCATCCTGACCTTGCCCCTAACACTGCCCCCCCCCACACCAAGCCCTCCCCCCAAACACTGCAATCCAACCCAGGTAACACTGTTCCCAACACCCCAAACCTGCCCCTGACCTAGGGCTGTCCCTGGCATGACACCCCGGCAATCTGCATTCACCCCAATGCTGCCCCCCTGACCTTGCCCCATATGCTGCCCCCCACACTCCGACCTTGACCTGGGACTCCAACGCAGACCCCTGCACTCCAATCCTAACGCTGCCCTCTGCATCCTGACCTTGCCCCGCCCCTAATGCTGACCCCTGCACCCAACACCCACCCTTGCACCTTGACCCTGAACGGTAATGTGGACCCCCACATGCTGACTGTGCCTCCTGCACCCTGCCCCTAATGCTGCCCCTTGCACTCCAACCCCAATGCTGCCTTCCACACCCTGGCCCCACTCCCCAACCCAAATGCTGCCCCCTGCACCTGTCCAATTCTCCAGTCAGGTTCCCAGTAGGTTTAGAGTGTGTGTCCCCCTGAGCCCGCCCAGCCTGTGCCCATTGCTTGTCCCCCAAGGTGTTCTGCTTGTGAGCCCAATAGATGATCTAATAAAGTGTTGTTCTTCTTCACACCTGAGTAGGGAGAGTGCAGAGGGGGTACCGGGGGGCGAGGAGGGCAGCCCTTCCCAAGCTCTCACCATCACCACCCCCCTAGGTGCTGCTGCCAACTCTGGTGCGAGTGGGGTCTGGGCTACATGGGGGGGAGGGCAGTTAGGGTCAGACATGGGGTGGGATCTAGGTTTTGGGAGGGTCAGAGATTGGGGGGGGGGCAGGATCAGTGCTAGGCCCCAGCTTTTAAACAATCCATTGGAGAAGTCCCTCAGTGTGCCAGCCCCCCAAGGGTCCTACTCTTCCTCCAAGGCCGGCCCTGCAGCCTCACTCCCTCCAAGATGGAGCCCCTGGGCTCCAGCCCTCCTACTTCACCCCTGAGAGCTCTGCCCGGCACGTCCCACTGAGCCAGACCCCTGGAGAGACCTGGCCGCTCTTCGGGGGCTCTGACACCCCAGCCAGCATTTTCAAAACGGTCGGGTTTATTAGTCGCCTTTCACACAGCCCAGGGAGGCCTTAAGTCAGCAGAGAGAACTGAGGGTTAAAGAATCAACCATTCTGGTTGAGCCATGATTTACCAGCCAAGCCCGACCCTGCCCATAAAGCCGTCCCCCACCTCCTGAACCTGCCCCCAACCTAGCCCAAACTCCATGTTCAGGCTCTGGATCTCTCTGATTTCCTTCCATCATCAGTTCCCAGGTGAGAGCCCCCAGCTTCTTCCAGAGCCCATATGTGTTCCCTGCTGGACCCATCTGTCTTTGTTCTCCAGGCAGGGCCACGCTGAGGTCACAGCCCCCCTGGCCGGAGCATCCTGCTGTCTGGCCCCCTTGTCGGTCTGGGTCAGTTTCAGCCAGTACGTTAATGACTCTTTGTTCCACCCAGACAGGGAGGTGACACCCACCCCTATGTCTCTGAGTCTGCCCTGAGAGTAACTTAATCCTTCCCCCCCACACACTGGATAGCCATGGCACATATAGGGGAAACGAGGCACACACAGGATTCATAAAACTATTACAAAATATTCCCACTTTGTCACAGGACAGGGTTCTGGCTGGAAGTGCTGGTTAGGGGGCAATAGGCTGCAGTCATTCCTGCAGGGTGCTGGGGGAGAGCTCTATGTCCCAGCTGTCCTCTTTTTGGGCTTGCTCTGGTGAGTTCCCAGTAACCACTGGGTTCGGCTATGTCGCAGCCATGGATAGTCTGTGCTAATGTTCGACGCTGGGATCACTGGGACATCAGATTTCAAGGCCAGGCCAGTTGCTGCATGGTGGTGCTCTTGGCTTCATAACAGTCCCCTTCTAGCTGTTCTCTTGTACCCTGGGTGTGACTCATGCAGCAAAGCTGCCTGTCTCCAGAGAGCCTGACCCATCACTGGGGTGGGGGGAGCTGCCCCAGGTGTGCCCAACCCAGTGATGCTGCCTGAGTCTGCAGAGAGCCTGAGCCCATTGCGGTGCATGGGGAAAACTACCTCAGGCATCACCATCATAGGGTTCGGCAGGTAGTTCCTGCCGAACCCCATGAAGCCAATTGCGCTGTCAGCGTTGTTTCCTGCCAGGGGCGTTGGCAGCGCCATCCTGTGAGCGTGTATCCATCGCTGTCCGATGCAGAGGCAGTTACTGGGGGGAGGGGCAGCTAGTTGCAGGGTGGGAAGGAGGAATTCACCCGGCACTCAGTGAAAGGTCCCCCCCCCAATCCCTGCCCAACAGGGAGGCAAAGAGGAGCTGCCCCCTCCCCAGGCCCTGAGTGCCCCCATGCAGCCAGCCGCAGCTCCACTCCCTGCTCACCAGCTGCTGGCGAGCAGCCAGGCGGTGGCTCCCTTCTCTTGACCGCGGGCGCCCCGGCCATGCCCCCCGCCCCCGGGGCTAGGCTGGTCCCCGCCCCGAGCAAGCGGGGTCTGATCGGCCAGATCCAGCCCCACGGCGGTGCGGGGGGGCCCAGGCCACCGCACGGGTCCGGCTCCAGCCCAGCGGGCGGGTCCCGTCCCTCGGGAGCCCCGTCTCGGAGCCCGCCCCTCCCGCGCCCCAGCCACGTGGCGCAGCGGCCCGAGAGCCGGGCGGGGGCCCCCGGACCCGGCCTCCCTGCGCGGGCTGGCCGCGCTGCCGGGGGTCAGGGACCGGGGCCTTTGCCCCGGGGCCGGGCTGGCCGAGGGCGCCTAGGCCGCAGCTGGGCGTCTCACTGCTCTCCATGGAGACGGGAGGGAGCGCGCGGGCGCCATTACGCATGAGACAGACGTCACAGAGGGGGGCGGAAGACGCAAGCGCGAGGGGGGAAAAGCGTCATCGCGAGCGGACGCTGCGGGGTCCGAGCGGAGCGAGCCAGGCGGCAGCGGCGCGCGCGCCGGGCCTGGCGGGCCCAGGCCTGTGGGGACGGGGCGCGAGCAGGAGGGGTGAGCGCCAGAACGCGCGCGCTTGAGGGGCTGGGAAGGGGCCGCGCGCGCCCACCCAGCGTGAGGACAGAGCCGAGAGCGGCGTCGGGACCCAGCGGGACGGTGAGGCTGCGGCCAATCAACTGCGAGGGGTGAGCGGGGCCGGCCAATCGGCGCGAGGAGCCTCGCCAGCCGGCCAATCAGCGGCAGCGTGCGGGATCCTCCCACTAGCCCGGGAGTCGAGGCGCCCCGCGCCGGAGCCGCAGCCAATCAGCGCCCAGGACTCGCGCGCCGCGTCAGGGAGGGGACACGGGGATGTCCTACAAGCCCATCGCGCCCGCCCCCGCCAGCTCCGGAGCAGCCGGCACCAGCAGCAGCGCCAGCCCCGCCCCCGGGGCCCCGCCCGCCGGTGAGCAAGAGAGGGACCCCCCCCCCCCCCCCCCCC